GCACTGAATCTGTAGATTGCTTTTGGCAAGATTTCCATTTTTACTATGTTTATCCTACCTACCCAAGAGCATGGAACATCTTTCCATTTTCTGGTATCGTCTTTCATTTCTTTCTTGAGAGCCACAAAGTTCTTATTATAAAGGTCTTTTATTTGTTTGGCAAGCATTACCCCAAGATACTTTATGTTGCTTGTGGCTGATGTAAAGGGTGATGTTTGTCTGATTTCTTTCTCTGCCTCTTTGTCGTTTGAAAAAAGTAGGGCTACTGATTTTTTTGAGTTTATCTTGTATCGTGCTAGTTTGCTGAAGGTGGTTATTAGCTGTAGGAGTTCCCTGGTTGAGTTTATTTGGTCGCTTATGAAAACTATCATATAATCTGCAAATAGAGACAGTTTGACTTCTTCCTTTCCATTTTGGATCCCCTTGATCTCCTTTTATTTTCTTATGGCTTTAGCTAGAACTTCAACTTCAATATTGAAGAGATATGGAGAAATAGGACATCTCTTATCAGACCACAATGCTTTAAAATTGGATTTCAATAACAACACAAATCACAGAAAACCTACAAAGTCATGGAAACTGAAAAATGTGCAATTGCACCACACCTGGGCCAAAGAAGAAGTAAAGAAAGAAATTAAGGACTTTCTAATTCTCAAAGTGAATGAGGACACAACATACCTGAACTTATGGGACACCTTGAAAGCAGTGCTATGAGGGAAGTTCATTGCACTAAGTGCCTATATGAAGAAAACAGAGGATAGTCACATAAGAGAATTAACAGCACAACAGAAAGCCTTAGCACAGAGAGAAGCAAACTCACCCCTTATAAGTAGAATCCAGAAAATAATCAACTTGAGGGCTGAAATCAACAAAATAGAAACTAGGAAAACAATATATATATAAAAAAAAATCAATGCTACAAGAGTTGGTGTTTTGAGAAAATCAACAAGATAGACAAACATTTATCCAAACTAACAAAAAAGCAGAAAGAGATCTTGCAAATTAACAAAATCAGAAATGAAAAGGAGAATACAACAATGGATACAGAGGATATCCAGACAATTTTCAGGTCATACTTTTAAAACCTGTATTCCACAAAAATTGAAAATTCAAAGGAAATGGGCAAATTTATGGATAACTATCACTTACCAAAATTAAATCAAGAACAGACAAACAACTTTAATAGACCTATAACCGGAAATGAAATTGAAGCAGTCATCATAAGCCTTTCCACCAAATAAAGTTCAGGGCCAGATGGATTCAGTGGAGAATTCTACCAGACATTCAAGGAAGAACTAACACCAATACTCCTCAAATTGTTCCACAAAATAGAAACAGAAGGTTCATTGACAAACTCTTTTTATGAGGCACAATAACCTTGGTACCCAAGCCTCAGAAAGACACAACTAAGAAAGGAAACTACAGATCAATATCCTTGATGAACATTGATGCAAAAATACTCAATAAAATACTTACAAACTGAATTCAAGAATACATCAGGGAAGTCATCCACCATGACCAAGTAAGCATAATTACTGGGTTGTAGTGAGATAGTCCTTCTGTGTCACTGACCACGCCCATTGGGGGTGGAGCCATGGGTGGAAGTGACCTTTGAAAGGTGGTCGGAGAGCCAGGAAAAGCTCTCTTGGTGGCTTGACTCGGACAGGAGAGCATCGGGTGGAATTTCCTGATGTTCATCTGCCTAGGCTGTAAGTTATTTCTCCCTGAATAAACATCTATTCGGCCTATTTGTTTATCCTGATCCTTATTTAACTGTGATACTGGGTTGCAGGGATGTTTTAACATACAAAAATCTATCCACGTGATCCACCATATAAACAAACTGAAAAAGAAAAACTGTATTAGTATATCCCTAGATACTGACAAAGCCTTCGACAAAATTCAACACCCTTTCATGATCAAGGTCTTGGAGAGATCAGGGATAACAGGAACATACCTAAACACAATAAGAGCAATATACAGCAAACCTACTGCCAATATCAAACTGAATGGAGAGAAACTTAAGGTAATCTAATTCCTCTAAAATCGGGAACAAGACAATGCTGCCCTCTCTCTCCATATCTCTTCAATATCGTACTTGAAGTTCTAGCGACCTTGAATTTCTAATCTTACTATTTCTATTTCCTATCTATTGGAATTTTAGGCCTGTTTTTGCACCATCCCTAGCTTCTATCTTATATGAATCTTCTTAAGTAGCAGTGGTTTCAGTTTGTACAAATGAATATATTCAATTACTTTTAAGAAGTTGCAATTCATCATCACCTGCCATGTGTCACATGTTGGTGTATGTGGTGAGTCAAAGTGCAACTAATAGTCTGTTGTACAATTTCTTCTTGATTCATATTGACTGATAGATTACCACCTAAAACTATGCAATTCAACAAATGTAACTCCTTTGTATTTCATATTTGACATCATGAATAATGTAATTTGTTAGGGGAAATAAATTATTGTCTTATTTTTGATCAATATACAATCTGTCTTTCCTGGAAAATCTGGAAATGTCTATTCATCTTAAGAACTATTGTTAATACCAGTCAGCAAGTATTTAAATATGTAACATATTCAAAATCCTGAACTGGGTGCTTATAAAGGTACAGTATTTGACACCTTTATCTATTCTTTTCTGCACACATGTATCCTCAGTGTTTTTTGTATCCCAAAGAATCTGTTAATTTAACATTCAAATCTAATTCTTTTCAAAAATTTACAAGATAATTTTGTAATGACCCAACGAAGCTGCATTATTCCCTAGTCATAAATGTTCACCTTTAGAGGGTAAATGACTAATATTGTTTCAAGGTTGAGAATCTTAATAAGCAGAAGCTAATAGTGTCTTTTTTTTATAAAAATATGCTGTACTTACTCAGAAGAAAATGACCAAACAAATTCACTTCAATGATAAATAGATAAATCTGTAGTTACAGAAATGAAGCTAGTATCATTCATTCTATCTTCCTACAGCTTAGAAAACAGTAACAGAAATTTTCCCTAATTTGCAATTATGGAAATCAAAGTCTGATCATATTTGACTGACATTGCTGCCTAACTGTATTCTACCTGCCTCTGCTGTCTTAGTCTTTGATTAGCTTACTGGTATATAGATAACAGATCGCACAGTCCCTAAACAAAACAACCGAACATTAATCAGTATTACATCAACACTGACATAATTTCTGAAGTTATTATGTTTTGGATTGTATGTATATGTCTGTGCCTGTGTATGTATGTAGACACATGGGTGTAGGACAGAGGCAACAGATAACCTGGGATTAGAGTTACAAATGGTGGTGAGGCACTCGTTATGAGTGCTTAGAAGGGAACTTTGGCCTTGGGCAAGAACAGTAAGGTCTTCTAACTGCTAAGCCATTTCTTCAGGCTCTCTTTAAACTATAATGAATTCTAACATCATGATTTTCTTCTTCCATATCTGGTTAGTTACCTAGTACTGTTGATTCTTCCTTAATTCTTTCTCCTTCATTCTTCTTTTCATTTCTATTCCAATTGCCAATATTGTTCACCATTAATTGTTTCTTGTGGCATTTTTATAACTCCCTTATTTTCGAGACAGGGTTTCTTTGTATTGCTTAGGAGCCTATACTGAGCTCTGTAGACCAGGCTGGCCTTCATCTCACAGAGATCCTCCTGTCTCTGCCTCAAAAGTACTGGGGTTAAAGGTGTGTATCACCAATGACCATCTCAATCTAAGCTTCTTAAAATAGGTAGTGAGCTTTGTACTTGTCATGAGAGTACTGAAGAAACATGAGAACAATTTGTGCACTTTAACCAAAATAATACAATATGATGAGAGCTATGTGAGTACTGTAGCAGGGCAATATTATCTCCATTCGTTTATATTTCTGCCTGGAAATAATATGAAAACATAGAATACTTAGAAGTTAAATGTTCCCATAGAGAGAAGTAGGTGCTCATGGTTAATAGCCAAGTTAATCTCAAAGGAGAGCCAAACAAATGTATTGCTTTACTACTAGAGCTGAAATAATTTACACAGTAATTCATGTATAGCTTTTGAAGGTACACTACATTTCTGATAAATGTGGCAAAGTATCTGACAGAACTGATTTAAGGTAGGAACGTTTTAGTTTGGTTTATATTTTCATATTAGTCCATCATGGAAGGCATGGTCGGGCAGATCTGTTCATGGTCGTGATTGTATGTGGCACAGGCTGTTCACAACATGATAGACCAGCAAGCAATTTATGACAGTTGTATCCTTCCAAATGACTTTACTTCTCCATGCAAATTCATACTTCTAAATATTCCACAACTTTCCAAAATAGTGCCATCAGCTAGAGAAAAGGTTCTTAAATCTTAAGCACATGGAACACAACTGAAAGGTACTTTGTGATTTAAATCTATTGTTCCTAGGAGACTGAGATAGAATGATCAAAAGTTGAAGGCCAGCCTTGGGTACAAAGTGAAGACATGTTTAAAACAAAATGTCTTTTGTTGATGTTTTCATTGAAATTTCATGCTGCTTGCAGATATCTCAGTGCCTTGTCTGTATTCAGCATTTGTATTTAGGAGACCAAAGTGCACATGCAAAATTAAGTATAACAAACATGTTCAATAATTTCTTTTCATTGTTTGTGCATAAAATGCTGCTATGTGTCTAGCCTCCATCAATCACCTTTTCAGATTTCACTTGGTAAATGGAAACTAATTAAATAAGTTTGAGGTAAAGGAAATTCCAAACTCAAAAGAATTATCACTGGAGTTATACCAAGGGGAATTTGGAATATGCATCAATATCCTGCAATAAAATAGTAAATCAAACCCTACTTGAACTGTTTTGAAGAAAACCAACATAAAGGCAAAACCAAACAAAACCAGTATATTTTAAATCTCAGAGGGAATAGGCTGTGTGTGTGAACTTACAGTATTGTTCTTGAAATTATCACAGAGAGATGAAAGAACGTTTTAAATAGACATTCTCATGGAGATTCCTTATCTTCTAGATGAGCTCAGTGAAAATGTTACGGCCCCGTCTCACAAGCATCCTCTTCAAACTCACCTTTGAAGAACATGTGAACAACATCAAACCAAGCATCATAGCAGTAACTCTTGCATGTGAAGAACTGAAGAAAAGTGAAAGCTTTAATAGACTTTTAGAGTTGGTTCTTTTGGTTGGAAACTACATGAACTCAGGCTCAAGGAATGCCCAGTCTTTGGGATTTAAGATCAACTTCCTTTGCAAGGTAAGATATCATTGCTAACAGTAGTTTTTGGGTATGTGAGCTGAAATGATACATACATAGAAATAATCTAACAACTCCAAATCATGTGTCACAGGAGGAAAGTTTATCATATGATTCTTGATCATGCCTTGATTAAAAAAAAATTTATAATTTTATTGCAATGAAATTCAAAGGACTATGAAGGCTTTTACTCATGTCCTCTAATTATATCATCCTGAATATTATAGACAATACAAAATTTGCCTTTATAAAATAGATTTAACTTCAAATTTTACTCTATTTTTACTTATTTTGTTATGTCTCTAGAAATATTTGAAGAGTTTAATTATATGAGAAAAAGAAGCCTGGAATTTTTCTATGGATACGATTTGATTATTGTGCTCTATGAAAACAAAACTCTTTGTTTCTGGGTAACATTCAGCTATTATGCTTTCGCTGATTATCAAGGTATCTGCCTAAAACTTTAGAAATGAAATAATAATATTACTGCTTCGACTGGACAATTTAATTTTATTTTTTGGGACTTATGAAAAGGAGGCAAAGAAACCGAAAATCCCCAAAATGATTGTATATGTCCAGACATGTCAACCCAAATTGTTTAAGTAAAAGTACTGTCTGTTATAGACAGACAACTGAACAGATTCTGAAGTGAAGGGCTTTAAGGAAGCTTGAGATGAAAATGATTCTGGAGAGAAGTAGTCTTTCCTTGACATCTCCGAATATTTCCGCTGTTTATTCTCTCAGATCAGAAAATAATGCCAAAGTTTAGTTCCTTGTAGACATACCTTTTAGAAAGAATCACAAATGAATATTACCCTCCTCATTATTCATACACTGACCTATACAAGGTATAAGTACACAAACTTACATCTGAATATGTATGAAAAATGATTTGATTGTGGTGCTTATAACACACATAAGTTCAAGGGATATCATATATAGGTTACATATATAATGGAATATTTGACTATCCCTTTACTCCTGATATTTGTTTAATAGTTATAAGAATGATAACAACAACAAAATAGATGGGATAATTTGAAAATACCAGATTTTTAAAATCAAGAATAGTGTTATTCTCTCTTCTTGTGGTACTGGGAAACATACTAGTTCATTAGATAACCCAAGAAAAGTAAGGTAGTACTTGCAATAAATTAGAATATTGTCATTTGTATTTATAGAGTAAAACTATTTTTGTCATTCAATTATAGTTCATATAACTTACCCTAATAAGATCATTTTGACTATATTTTCTATGTACATTTTGTGAATCTATACTTTTGGTTTATGATTATGAAGCTTCATATTAAGTAAAGTGACATAAATTTATATGTCATGTACATGTATATCTATTTTATATTTAATTTGCCTATATATCTTAAGCTACCTGTTCTAATTTTAACAAATATGTCACTTTTAAAATGCCTTCATCTTACTGTATTCAAATTTATTACATGAAGTGATTATCTTGAAACAAGAATGAACAACTCCTTTATATATAAGAGCAAAAGATTATATTTATCACACAGAAAGATTTTATTCTGAGGTCTCCGATTTTGGAGAGAGCTTTCTTCCTGTCATCTACCTGTCAAATAAAAGTTTTTCCATATAGCACTGATCTGACATCTATCACTAGAGGTATGCTCAGAGGATTTAGCACAAAGATTCTTGCCAACTTCAAATAAAATATAAAACCATCTTGGGGGAAATACTAACATGTAGTATTAGGTGTTCTAAAGGAAAAAGAAGTAAAGATTTTACTATACCCCCGTATACATACACTTTTCAGATGGATTTTTATCTTCTGGGAAATACTATAGGGGAAATACATGTCATTAATAAAGGGTAATATTATATACATGGTTGATATTCCCACAATGTGTATGAATGAAAAAGATGTTCCTAAAATACCAAAGATTCTGCGTAGATGTAAATGTGTAAAATGACAGAAATTTACTGAAGTGCATAGAATTAATTTGCTTAGATTTGTAATCTTTCAAAAAGATGGAATTCACTATGTGCTGATACACGATTAGCTGGAATTTCTGTTAAATTTCACTTATAAAAGACTACTTGAATAGTATTTTTTTTCTTTAATACATTGCAGAGGGAATTCTTCATGAAGAAGACTGATTATGCTTACAAACAATTACCATTTCTCACCTAAATTTTTCTTTTATTTTGAAATTAACATCTACTGTTTTCAAAAAACCTATAAAACGCATTAAAATACTAATCCCTTGAAAGAGGAAAATTTACATAAGTGATTAGACTTATCAGATATGCTTCAGTGCATAATAGACGATATTTAGATGGTCAAAATCAGCTGTCTTGATTTTTGTGAAGAAAAGAAAAACAAATGAGTTAACTAAAATTAAAAATAACACCAAAGCTTATATTGATTGGAAAATGCTTTTTTAATTTCAGTAGTAAATGTGCTCTAGTGTAATAAAGCCCTTGTAAATGAAGATGAACTTACAGTGCAAGCTTGGACTGTTTGTCATTGAAATTCTAAGAAATTCCCATGCTGCACTTGAGGAGCATTTCTTATTTTGTTTTCAGGTTGTAATAGCATATATAATATATATATGTAAACAAAATATTGAAAAAAATTAAGTGTCCCATATTCATTCAGCTGTGTGCATATATTAGAAATGGATCTTTAGTAGCTCACAGCCAAAAGTGACTTTCTGAGACAAGAGAAAAATGGAATTTGTTGGAAGGATAATTCAGTCAGAAAATGGAGAAAAGCTAAAGAAATGGACTTTAAAGGAACATTCAGGCTTTAGGGATAGCTAAGTGGTTAAGAAAACTGGCTGTTTTTTCAAAGGCCTATAGTTTGATTCCCTGCATCCAAATAGTGACTCACAAGTCTCTGTGACTCATTTTACAGGGAATCTGACACCCTCTTTTGGCCTCTGAAGACTTGCCTGTGCATATAAAAGCTAAACACATATCCACAAATGTCTATTTTGTTTCTTCTTCTTTTTGTAACCTGGTGCATTTTATTGTTACTATTTTTCTTATTTTCATATCTATCCCAGTTCCCTCTCCGTACCTACCTCCCTCTCTTTCACCCTCCCATGGTCCCCACCACTCCCCTATCACATCCACCCCCCACTCCAAAGTAGGGTGATGCCTTCTTAGAGGGGTCACCTAAATCTGTCAAGTCTAAGTCATTTGGGGTAGGGACTAGCCCCTCCCTCCTGCGAATATCAAGATTCCATTGTTGTTTTTTTTTTTTTTCCTCAGAGAAGTATACCATTGTGTAAATGTGCCACATTTTCATTATCCGTTCTTCAGTTGAGGGGCATCTAGGATGTTTCCAAGTTCTTACTATTACAAATAATCCTGCTACAAACCTATTTGAACAGATATCTTTGTTGCATGGACGTGGATCATTTGGGTATATGCCTAAGAGTGGGATTACTGGAACCTGTGGTAGACTGATCTCCAAAATGACTGTATGAGTTTGCACTCCCACCAACAGTGGAGGAGTATTCCCCTTTCATCACATCCCTTCCAGCATAAGGGTTATTTGGTGTTTTGTTGACTAGTTTCTTTAGTTCTTTGTATATTTTGGAGACCATCCCTCTGTCAGGTGTAGGATTGGTGAGTATCTTTTCCCAGTCTGTCGGCAGCATTTTGATCTTGTTGACTATGTTCTTTGCTTTTACAGAAGCTTCTCAATTTCAGGAGGTTCCATTTATTATTTGTAGATATCAGTGTCTGTGCTACTGGAGTTATGTTCAGGAAGCGGTCTCCTGTACCAATTTGTTCAAGGGTACATCCCACTTTCTCTTCTTAGAGGTTCAGTCTGTCTGCATTTGTGTTGAGGTCGTTGACCCATTTGGACTTGATTTTTGTGCATGGGGATAGACATGGGTCTATCTGCAGTTTTCTACACACCATCATTCCGTTTATCAGCAGCATTTATTGAAGATGCTTCCTCCTCCCATTGTATACTTTTAGCTGTTTTGTTAAATATCAGGTGTTCGTAGGTGTGTGGGTTAATACCAGGATTTTCTATTCAGTTCCATTGGTCTGTCTATATTGTGCCAATATCAGACTGTTTTCAGTACTATAGCTCTATAGTAGAGCTTGAAGTGGGGAATGGTGATGCCTCTTGAAATTCCTTTATAGTACAAGGTTCTTTTGGCTATCCTGGGTCTTTTCATTTTCCGTATAAACTTGGTTATTATCCTTTCAAGGTCAGTGAAGAATTGTGCTGGCATTTTCATGGGGATTGCATTGAATCTATAGATTGGTTTTGGTAAGATTGCCATTTTTACTATGTTTATCCTACTTATCCAAGAGCATAGAAGATCTTTACATTTTCTGGTACTTTCTTTAATTTCTTCTTTTAAAGACAAAAAGTTCTTGCTATATATGTCTTTCATTGTTTGGTAATTGTTACCTAAAGGTACTTTATGTTGTTTGTGGCTATTGTAAAGAGTGATGGTTCTCTGATTTCTTTCTCAACCCCTTTGTTGTCTGAAAAATGTAGGGCTAATGTAGGTGTTTATCAGCAGTAGGAGTTCTCTGGTAGAGTTTTTCGGATCACTTACATAAACTATCATATTATCTGTAAATAATGAAAGTTTGACTTCTTCCTTTCCAATTTGTTGCATTTTGTCAAAGACTCCCTTAGCATCTAGTGAGATGATCATGTTATTTTTCTTTTTCAGGTTTTTTTATATGGTGGATCACATTGATAGGTTTTCTATGTTGAGCCATCCCTGCAACCCAGGGATGAAGGCTACTTGTTCATGGTGGGTGATTTCTCTTGGATTCGATTTGCTAGTATTTTATTGCATATTTTTGCATTAATATCCATGAGGGGTATTGGTCTGTAGTTCTCTTTCTTAGTTTGTCTTTGTGTGGCTTGGGTACTAAGGTAATTGTGGCCTCGTAAAAAGAGTTTGGTAATGTACCTTCTGCTTCTATTGTGTGGAGCAATTTAAGGATTAATAGTATTACTTATTCTTTGAATTTCTGGT